TACTAGTACTAGTGCTAGTACTAGTAATAGTACTAGTACTAGGTACTAGGTACTACTACTACTAGGTTTAAACCCCCTGGTTAAGCGCCCTTGTTTCAGCTGTCGGAGTCGTCGCAGCAATCCTCGAGGTCCGTGGTTTTGGCTTTCAGCCACCCCTGAGCTCTATCCAGCACTGTGACTGGATCCCCTGTGTCAAGAAAAGTCTTGAAGAACACCCCGAAAGACGTGCTCAGTGCCTCATAGCCTGGGCTTCTCCTCAAGTGAGCTGCAGCCAACCATGATGCAGCTTTGTGTGCCCGAGATGGCAGCTTGCCACCAGCCATCCTTCTCATCATGACCTTGTTTTGTCCTGCAAGTGCTTCAGCTCTGTTAGTTGAAACTCGGAACCTGGCACTTGTCTTGCTGCTGGACTTTCGCTTGGCCAAGTGTGTAGCCAGTTTGGCTCCAACCTCCTTCAGTGGCACTTTGGCAAATCGACTGAATTGCTTCTTGCTGTGATTCACATCCAGAAGAGGCTGGCCCTGCAAAGGCTCATCCCTTTTATGGGCCTTCTTGTTAGCTTGAGCACCATCGACATGGTGCACACAAGACTTGAGCTTCTTGTTCAGAGGGGCACTGACCTCATCATAGTGATCAGGCGGTGGAGGGGCACCAGCCTTGACAGTTTTGTCTTTCAAAGGCACCCAAGAAGGTCGTTTTCTCTTGCCAGTCGCTGGGTCCACTGACCTGGAGGCAAAGACCAGCATGCGGCCCACATGCTGCACTTTGTCCGCCTTCTTCTTCTTGCCACAATGAGTCAGATCTGTCTCGACCTCTTCAAGCTCGAAAGTGGCAGCTTCACCCAGGCTATATTCGTTGAAGGCACAAACGAAACGTAACCATGCCCAGAAGATGTCGATGACCTTCAATGACAAACCTGTGAGATGGACAGCTGCGTCCTTCGGCACACCCAGTGTGTACACGTAAGCAGCCTTGAGGAAGTCCTCAGGACGTCTGTGTGCATGCTTGCAACCAGCATGCAAAGCGGTGAAAGGTATCCGGCCATCTTTGAACTGCACAAGGCAATGCTTTTTGTTGCACCTCAAGGTAGTCTTCTTCAGACTCAAGGAACCACCGCACTTCCAGCAGCTTCTGCCTTTGAGTTTCGGTAGCCACCCCCAGGACTCCAAAGTTCTCTGAGCCACAGCAGAAGAGTGACAATGTTTCTGCAAAAACTCAGGGTACGAAAGCTGCTTGAGTTCCAGAAGACCCTTATCACACTTTGCAGACTGTTCAAAATAAGGCGGCACCCACTTCGGAAGTTGTTTCTTCGGAGATTTCGTCTTGTGCAATGGACACTTCTTGCTGTCCTTCCTGTGGCCCAACTTCCCACATGCAGAGCATTGTGTCGTCTGCTGTTTACCCTTTCCTCTGGTCTGCTGCTTGGCCTTCGGCCAAGTCTTGGCATACCATAATGGGCACTTTCCCATGAGCACGATTCCTTTCTATATATATATATATATCTACATTT